CCAGGGACAGCCACCCCATGCACAGCAACTGACTGGGTGTCCCTAGTGAGTCACTTCACCTCTCTGGCATTCGGTTTCAGCTATAAAAGATGAAATTAGGGCAGCCTGGGTGGCTCAGCAGTTTAGCGCCGCCTTCAGCCCAGGCCGTGACCTTGGAGACCCGGGATCAAGTCCCATGTCGGGCTCCCTACATGGAGCCTGCTTCTCCCTCTGCCTGTGTCTCTGCCTCTCTCTCTCTCTGTGTGTGTCTCTCATGAATAAATAAAATCTTAAAAAAAATAAAAGATGAAATTAGAATAAATACTCTCTTAGTTCCTTACTAGCTCCAAATTTCTCTTTATAATTGATACGGAATTCATTCGACACATGAGAGGCAAAGAAATCAACCCTGAAATTGTTTATGATCAGCAGTTCTTTTTTTTTTTTTAATTTTAAAGTAATCTCTATACCCAACATAGGGCCTGAACCCACAACCCCAAGACCAAGAGTCACAAAAAACTTGCTTTATGTTAATATCGACTATATGTTATCTCATTTCATCTTCATGACAGTTTTTGGTTCAGAAAGAAAGGACATCTTTCCTTAGGAACTAAAAAAAAAAAATCAACCCCTGTAGAAAGTAAGGCACTAAAGAATCCCAGATGATCCCTATCAATGACTTTCCCTTATTGACTCTTGTGCCGGTAAATAAATGATTCAGCTAATTGTAGGCATTCTTTGTACATTTTTTCTTCTTTTTCTTTGTTTGAAGTAGGTACATTTTTTCTTCTTTTTCTTTGTTTGAAGTAGGGTGATAAATAAAAGGAGAATTGCATTTCGTAAATTCAACATACTTGCATTAAAAAATTATAAATAAATAAAAGCATACTCGCTTTACAAGTAAGCTAATTGAAACAGCAACACAAAACAGAACAACAACAACAAAACAAGAATTAAGACCTTCCTTGGGTAAACAAAACTTGTCGAGCCATAATTTAAGTGTCTATTTCATCTTGTGTATGCCAACCAACACTCCAGACAAAGATACTCTTAGCTGCAATAGAAAATTAAGATCTCTTATATCTCACACGTTATGCGTAAACTCTCAATTTAATGATGTTTGGGTTTCTCCCCTTAGACGTGCCAAGTGCAGGGGAAGAGTAATAAAAAGTTTTAAACTCCAGGTTGCTAGGATACATTACCCATTTATTTTGAAGTACAAATCTCTATTCTTGCTCAGGCTGGGATAAATTATCATTACTAAGAAATCTTTAGAAATACAGTCAGTTCTCGAAGTACTTTCCCCAGAATATTTATTCAAATAGCACTGCTCTAGAAAGGCTCCACATTCTTTATTCTTAGTAACTTGGATGGTGTACAGACAGCCCCATGAGTTAGCATTTGGTAAACCATTTACATCCTCGTGGTAGTTCATCCACTGGAGAAGAGAAATTTATAGGTGTTTTGAAATGTCAGAGTGAAGATAGCATTTGGGCCTTAGAAGGGTGGAGTGAAGTGAATGGAATTTTTCCAATATTTATTTTTAGTATCCTTTCAGATATAAAGTCATTTTGTCCAGGAACAAAAAGATTGAATTATGATTAGTTTAGTGTACTTACCAAATTACCGTGTGGGATGTCTTTTATTTATTTATTTATTTATTTATTTATTTATTTATTTGTTTGTTTGTTTATTTATTTATTTATATTTTTTAATTATTTTTAATGTTTTCTGCTTTAAAGTATAATTTATTTAGATATTTTCAAATATATTGAGGGTTCTTTTCAACATTCCTAATTGCTCCTACAAGTGGAGCTATATATTGATGAACTGAAAGAAATCCAGCACCTGTAGATTTTGCTAAAAGCAAGCCAAGATCTACAGAGGGAAAGAAGCATTTCAGAGCATTTACCGTATGAGGGTGCTATACACAGGCAATCTCACAGATTATCTCATAGAATCCTTGAGAAGTGGGATTGTTGACCCATTTTACAGGTGAGGAAGGTGGGGGCTTAGAGAAGCCTAGCAGGTCACTCAGTAGGTGGTGGACGTGCGATGGGACTCAGTCTACTGGTCTACTGGACCCCACAGCCTGTGCTTCTTCTCTTGCATTCTCAATAACTGTGGGAGGCCACTAGCCACCAGGAGCCTGCAGAGAGGGTGTGTGTTGTCCACAACCCTCACGCATCATCTGCAGAGTTGAAATGCCATTAGTCCTTTTCTGCCTCCACTGCCACATTGGCACCCATGAAAAAACTTGTGGGGGGCCAAAAAAAAAAAGAAGTACATTCTGAAATTCACCCTCTAGAAGGTGGAATCATGGATGCCACCAATCTTGAACAATTTTGGGGGGGAAGGGGGAAATCAAAGTAAATGGAAAAGCTGGAAGTCTCGGTGGAGGGGTTGTATACGTTGAAAGGAGTAAAGAGCAAAGTTATCATAACTTCTGACATGACTTTTTCTACATGGTATTTGAGGTATCTCCCCAAAAAATCTTTGAAGAATAATCGACAGGCTCCGTTGCACATAGTCACTAACAGCACGGAGAGTTACCGATCACATTACTTCTAGATAAATGAGGATGAAGAAGAGAAGGAAGATGGGACTAAAACTCATTGACCTGGAATGTTTTGCATCAATTCTTGAATAAAACTTGGGAACCAAAACAAACCAACCGAAAGTGCCATTGACCCATCACCATGTATTAGTGAGTTCCTACCATGTGACTCTGATTCTGTGATTCTTTAATGTGAAGGGGTCATTAGTGCAGGACAGTTTCCCCACATGAAGAGGGCTGGCTCCTTAGCCGAACAGCTCGAGACAGTGTCTCCACGGTAGTCCTGCTCAGCCTGGGATGAAAGCTGTCACGAGTCCAGCTCCTGCCAGCAGTCGGGGGCCAGCTGTCACATTCAAGAATGTCAGCACTAGAAAAAGCATCACAATGTGGTGCCAGGAAAGTGATTCTCATTTCCACAATTTGAAAGTGTCACCTCACTCCTGATGTCGGGAGGGGGCCCACGACACCCACCTGGCCGATCATAATCCCATTTCCCTAGATACAACGAGTGATCCAGGAGTGGGCAATGACCCAAGTGGAGCCAAAGACTTTTCCTGAGTCTGATAATGGGAAAATGAAGTTCCAAGGTGGGAGGCTGTGACATTTCAGCTGCCTGTAGCCCTCTTCCCAACCATGACACTGGGGAGAAAGCATGTCTGCAAAATGAAATTGGAGAAGAGACACAGAACGAGGGAATGAAAGAGTTCTGGAGGTGCGTGTAAGCTCCTCCTCTACTCCTATGAACTATCCCAGAAACCAGCCCAGTTACGTGGACCAGGGCATCCTCCACTGCTTTTAGACCAACCGGGGTGGTTTTCTGTCCCCTGGACTTGACAGGGCTTTGATTAAAGCACTTGGTTACCTTTCCCAGGAACTGGAATTCCTTTGGTTTTCAGGCATGTCTCTTGCACCTTGTTGGCCTGGGTTAGCTTACAACCGTCCCCAGTGAAGCCCTTGAACATGAACCATATTGCCACACACATACCTGTCTCTTGAGTCACGCAGAAGAAATAAATCACCCTGAAGGAACAATGGCACTGTATTCCAGTTATTTAGGGATACAGATCATACCTGAGAGCGAAGCCACACAATGCCACCTACAGTGATGATCTATTGTCCACCTGGATTGGTGGCTAAATCCCAGATACAGGATGACAAGTGAGGGGCCCCTGTGATGCCAGCTGCACCTATGTCGGTTTGGAATACAATCCCATGGAATTCCAGCTGTATTATCTGGTTTCGCTTCCAGGATGGCACATTTTGTAGAGGCCTTTACAGAACGTGTTGTGCTGGTTACTTCCTTTCCAAACGCATTTACACCAGGGTTTCTCAACAGCAGCACTCTTTGACCTCTTGGACCAGATGATTCTTTGGGAGCTGTCCCAGGCATTGTAAGATGGTTAGCTGGCCTCCACCCACCAGCTGCCAGGAGCACCTATTGCTTCTGTAACAGCACCCAACCCTGAGGACACTGCTTTGCCCAGAGTTGCCTTTATGGGCAGGGTGCCTGCCAAATTCTGGGCTCCTCGGGGTTTCAGCCAAGGTCCAACCAGGAGTATAAAATATATATACTTTAGAGGGGAAGGGCGGAAGGAGAGGGAGAGAGACCATCTTAAGCAGGCTCCACACCCAGCTCAGAGCCCAACACAGGGCTTGACCTCACAACCCCGAGATCATGACCTGAGCTGAAATCAAGAGGCGGATGCTTAACTGACTGCACCACGCAGGTGCCCCCCCACCATCTCTCTATCTTTAAACCCCCAAATGATTGAGAACGTTTCTCTAGCAACTGCTAGATGTAGGCCATTATTTCAGGTAAGTTTCTGTAATTCATTTATACATTCGACCACGCAAACACATATGCACAGGCCTTTTTCCGAGCTTTCATTCCACAGTCCCCTGATTGGACTAACCCGTATTTCATAATTGCCTCAGTCGCAATAACTGTAGCTTATAAAAAGACTCCAATCGAGGTCTGATTCCAGCGCCCAACTTTTTTCCAAAACTGACCCTCATGCCCCCATATTTATTCCTGCACGGTCCAGCATTGAAGCCAGCTCTCAACATGAGCTTATTCTCTATTGAGTTTGCCAGATCTAGGGACGCCTGGGTGGCTCAGTGGTTGAGCATCTGTCTTCCCCTCAGGGCATGATCCCAGGGTCCTGGGATGGAGTCCTGGATGGGGCTCTCCTCGGGGAACCTGTTTTTCCCTCTGCCTGTGTCTCTGCCTCTATGCGTCTCTCATGAATAAATAAATAAAATCTTTTTTAAAAGTTTGCCAATTTAGCAAATAAAAATGCAGGATACCCAATTTACTATGAATTTCACATAAGCAATGAATAATCTTTTAGCATAAACAGGGTCCAAATGCTGCTAAACACCATACAATATGCAAGACAGCCCCGACAACAAAGAATTATACAGTCTACAGATTGCATGAGACACACGTACATTTTATCTGGCCATCCTGCATCTCTATCCACTCTGGTCATGAACCTGCTGATGCATGTTGTTCTCAAAGAAGTAGCATCTTCTCCCATGTACTACTTAGAACCATGAGGACACTGCTTTGCCCAGAGTTGCCTTTATGGGCAGGGTGCCTGCCAAATTCTGGGCTACTCGGGGTTTCAGCCAAGGTCCAACCAGGAATCCAGAAATCAATTGGAATTGTATTTTATTTTATTTTATTTTCAATTGGAATTTTAATGTAGGGAAATGGCTCTACCAATGATGTAAGAGGCTTGAAAAAGCCAGAAAGTAATGAAGTAACTGGCAAGATTGGCAAATGCACAACATTTACTCCCATCCCCAGGCTGGAGGGACAAAAGAAGGAGGTGGAGTTACTAGAGCCAGGAGGTCACCTGGCAGACGAGGAAGTTGAAAACGGATACTGCAGAAGCAGGTGACAAGAAGAAATCCAGTGCCTGTCTCCGCCCAAGGAGAAGAGGAGGAGAAATACCCTGGCCCCTCCCACCAACCAATTTCCTCCCAGTTCCTCCCATGGGCCAAAGCCAGCCAGAAAGTAGCTGGAGACCTGCGGACTATAGCTAGTCTAGAACAGTCTGAGTTCACCGACTCTGGTCCTCAGGGGTGGGCTCTGTCTTCTAGCTCCGTGGAGCCCAGGAGAGGAGGGATCCTCCTGTCCTTGGGATTCAGATGAAGCCTTGGTAGCCACTGCCTCAATCACCAGCTCCTAGGCGTGGAGCCTGCTCAAGATTCTCTCTTCTTCTCTCTCTGCCCCTCCTTCTCTCTAAAAACAAACAAACAAACAAACAAACCTTCTGATTGTGTTCACTAAGTCACCTGAGTTTTCCTGTAATGAGTCATGCTATTGCTCTCCTATTCTTTCCAGATCAGCTCTTCTCTGACCACTGTTCAGGATGCTCTGAGGCCCTGTGGCGGCCCCGCACGCTGCCCCTCCTCTGGACCCCAGTGTGACCATGTGGCTCGTGCTGGCCAAAGAAATGCAAGCAGAAGCTTCTGGTGGAAGCTTCAAGAGCAGACACACAATTCACCGATTTTTTATTTCCTGTCTTAGGGAGCATGAACGAAATCTGTCAAGATGGAACCCTGGTCCCTGGATTAGTCTTCTGTTGCTTCCATAACAAAATTACTACACGCTCAGCACCTTAAAACAACACAAATTGATTATCTTACAGTTTTGGAGGTCAGAGTCCAAAATCCATCTCACTGGGCTAAAGTCAGGGTGTTGACAGCTGGGTCCTTCTAGAGGCTTCAGGGGAAAATCCACTTCCCTGCCTTTTGTAGTGTCTAGAGGCTGCCGTCCTCACTCCTTGGCTTGTGGTTGTCCCTCCGTCACTCCAGCCTCTTCCTTCCATGGTCACATCTCCTGCTATTGGCTTTGACCTGCTTGCTTCCCTCCTACAAGGACATTTGTGATTACATCGGGCCCACCTGGTTAACCCAAGACAGTCTCCCCATCTCAAGAGCCCTAACTTGATCACATCAGCAAAGAGCCTTTTGCCACACAAGGTACCATTGTCACAGGCTCTGGGGATTAGGATATGGATATCTTCAGGGACCATTATTCTGTCTACCTCAGTCCTTGAGAGATTACAGTGAGCAGAGCCCCACCTGCCAAACAGCGCTAGGCATGTAGTATGAGTGAAAAATAAATGTTTACGGCATTGAGTCGCTAAGATTTAGGGGCTTATCTGTTCCTGGTGCACAATCGAGTCCACATTTACACCCTGTTTCTTTTCTGTTTATATTTTGCAAAATTTAAAAATAACTTAAAAGTATTAAGTATGGCTATTTTCTGCAGAAAGTACACTTTAAAATAGTACACCCATAAATCATCAATCCATGAGGAAACCAAGGAGCTTTTTTTTTGTTGTTGTTGTTCCTGAACAAAAGTAACTTTGGAACTGTAAAGTAGACCTAAAAACAAATATTGCACATATTCCAGATCCTAACAAAAAGTCTTTTCTGAATCTGAAAAAAATCTTCACAGATTCCCTTTGTTCCAAAAAACTAACAAATTGGGACACCTGGGTGGCTCAGTGGTTGAGTGTCTGCCTTTGGCTCAGGGCATGATCCCGGGGTCCTGGGATGAAGTCCCACATCGGGCTCTCCGCATGGAGCCTGCTTCTCCCTCTGCCTGTGTCTCTGCCTCTCTCTGTATCTCTCAGGAATAAATAAATAAAATCTTAAAAAAAAAACAAACTAACAAGTTAGCAACGTGGATCTACTTAGATGTTGAACCAGATGAAAGTCAGAGAGAAAACAGTTCATTGAAAGATAATTAAACTTAGTCTTGTTTTTCCTCAAAGTAGGGAGAGGGGAGTCTGACCATTGAAATGAAAACACTGAATTTCCAAATACAATCCTTTTCTTGATTTCTATAATTATGTTAAAAGTCATAAAAAGCAGAACGATAAATCTCTAACAACCTTGAAATGCAGAGTCCAAGCTGGACCACCACTCACATCTCTTCTTCATAAGTCAGATGGACATGCGGACACATCAGTCTCAGCCCCAAGCAGTGGTCACCAGCTTTTTGGTCTTGCCCCTCTAATCGGTAAGAAGTCTCTAGTAAATTCCTCCAATATGTGCACTTATCAAAGTGTTACGAGCATTACAATACATACACACACACAAAGAAAATAAAAAGATAATATAAAAGTGAAATCAGTAACACTTTTAAATGCCTTGCTAATCATAATGGCATCATCAAACACTAGTTAATCTTTTGGGATACAATATGCCCTGAAGGAAAGGTACCCCACTGGGGCCCCTGGGTGGCTCAGTCGGTTGAGCATCCACCGTCTGCTCAGGTCATGATCCCTGGGATCGAGCCCTGTGTTGGGCTCCCTGCTCAGCGGGGAGTCTGCTTCTCCCTCTCCCTCCTTCTCTCCCCCCTGCTCCTGCATTCTTTCTCTCTCTCAAATAAATAAACAAAATCTTTTAAAAATACCTAAAATTTTTAAAAAGGAAAGGCTACTCATTAATGATGGTAGATATGAGCCTAATTGTAAACTTCTTGATAATTTTGAGTATTTTTGCCCGGCTTTTTTGGTCAGATCTAATTTGGCCCATGTTATTTCTACCTTTTAATGCGGAGAGGCAAGAGCTTGTTTTAGGGAAGTAAAAGGGTCTGTTTTGTCAACTTTGTTGCTTGCTTGCACACGTGCTACTGTTTTCACTTCCATCCATGGTTTCCTTGCAGGAAATCTTTTCAGTCATTTGTCCATTTTATGAGAGTTAATTTAATTGAAACCCATGACTATTATCCAAAAATGGCTATGCTAATAGAGCTGGGCATGCCTGACCTGTAACACATCATACTGGTCCAAAAGCAAACGCAAGAGTGAGGAGACCACCTTCAACCTTCTCTGTGTTCTGGAACTCCGTGTCTCCTCAGAGTGGTTCCATATGATGCAACCAGGACAAGAGACCATCCGACATTTGGATCAAGTGAGGTTGCCCATGTCAATCCCTAGCACTTCTGGGACACACTCCATAGAACTCTGATACAATCCCCCCTTATCAGTGGGGATAGGCCCCCAAGACCCCATTGGACGCCTGAACCCACGGGTACGACTGACCTCCATGGTCACTGTGGATTTTTCCTAGACATGCAAACAATAAAGCTTAACTTACAAATGGGGCACAATCAGAGATTAACAACAACATAGAACAGCTGTAACAATTTATCATCATGGTTACGTGACCGTGTTCATTCTCTTTCTCAAAACATCCTGTTGTATGGTTCCCTCACCCTCCTTCTTGGCGTGAGATGATAAAATGCTGGTGTGATGAGACAGAGTGAGGTGAGTGATGCAGGCGTGGGGACATACGGTTTGGCCACTATTGACCTGAAAATGCATCACAAGGAGGATCATCCACCCACTTCCTGTCTGCGGTTGACCATGGGTAACGGAAACCACAAGAGCAAAAACCGCAGAGAAGGGAGGAACACTGTATAAACAACCAAAACGCAGGCTTCTGCAAAGGCTTCTACAAGAGTGATGAATTCAGGTATGTGGCAAAAATCTATAATCTCTTCAATTAGTATTGCCATCATAAAACAAACTAAAAAAAAAAAAAAAAAACCTGAAGCCCAGAGAGGCTGGATGACTTTCCCCTCATACCACAGATGGCTCTTGGCCATTAGGACCAGAAACCAGATCCTCTGTACCTCAGGCCAACATGCTTCTCAAGGCACCACAAGATTATGAATGAGTAAATTTAGCAATTTTGTACCTGAATTCAGTCCTGCTGGCCTCCCTTCAGCTTGGTGCTGTACGATGAGGTAGAAACACTCAAGCCAAAGCAGGGGGAAGCAGCCTGGAGGTGACCCGTCTAGCCCCGGAGATGGGAGATTTTTGAGTCTTTGCAAGATACGAGGGGGGACAGTTTGTCTTTCCACGGTGTCTCTGGTCCCCAGTTACTGTTTGTCTCATGGACAAGGGTCTTTAGATTGACTGATGAAGGTTCTCCCGGAAGAGTTCTCTTGTGCCTGCTCCACCAAGGCATTCAAGGATACTGTAGTCAACGCCACATGGATTGTATTGATATATGTTGATTCTATTCAAGGTGTCTGGTGTGACGGTGCATAAAGGATGATAAAATGTCCCTGGAAATGTAATAAGATGAAGATGACTCTATTTCGCTCCTACCGCTGGAGTGCAATCAGGGAAGCAGGAGCACTAGGAGGGTTCATGGGATAGATTAGATCTTACCCAGTTTGGGGAGGAGCTGAGGAAGGAACGTCTCCAAAAGTAGCAGAGAAGGGCCCTAGACAGCCCTGGTGCGGGTGGGCCAGTCAGAGCTTGTTGCCGTTGGGTGAAACCAACGGCTGGAGAGGAGCCACAGAGGAGGCCGCTGTAGCAGCTTCTGGAAGGCCGTCAGCTCCTTGTGGTTTCCACCCTTGTGAGCTCACAGCAAAGCATCTCCTGGAGGGTCTAGAATCGCCGCTGGGCAGTAGGGCCAGCAGTCGGGGAGAAGGGCTGGATTCAGAGGAGGAAAAGCATGAACCAAAGAGAACCCACTGGGCCCTCTGCGGCTGTGCCTAACTGCCCCTGCTCACTTCACAGGGGCTGCTGCTTCATCTCTGCCTCTCCAGTGTCTCTTGGAGGACTCCAGGGGACTCCTGTACCCGGGGATCTTAAGGGCAGTTCCACTCTAGCTAGGTCGACATTGCACGAAGCCACCGACAGCTCCTCTCAGGGACCAACACTACATAGGTGGAAGCAAGTTTGAAAAGCTGCTTGGGGTAGCTCCAGTTCCACTCCCAAGGCTCTAGCTCCAGTTCCACCCATGACAGATATGCTGCCTCCTGAGGATGTGAGCCCACCTGCCTGCAGGGCTCTTGCTTTGTGTATGGAATATTCCAGTTTGGAGCTGGACCTGAGCCCTGGAGGTGAGGCTGCAAGGGGCCTCCTTACGGCACTTCTCTGCTGCCTTTGCCTCCTGCGGGGTTCAGCTTCCCTGGAAATAAACCTGGAACCATGTATAGAATTTAGGTTTGGGGAGAAACCTACAATAGCTGTTAAAATTGTAACTGCTCTTCCTCTTGGGGCTAGCAATCCCACCGCTGAGACGTTCGCCCTCACCCCTTGCCAACTGTGTGAACCTGCACGTACATACAGATGTGCAAAATTCTGCTACTGATTCATTCATCGGAGCATAAAGCAAAAACTAGACCTACGGAGGCCTGGTTAAATAAAATGTGGCACCTCCAAGGGACAGAATTCTATGAAGCCAGGAAAAATGAAAGAAAGTTTTTCATGCTAGGGGCACCTGGGTAGCTCAGTGGGTTTAGCATCTGACTTCGGCTCAGGTCATGATCTCGGGGTCCTGGGATCAAGCCCCACATCAGGCCCCCTGCTCAGCAGGGAGCCTGCTTCTCCCTCTCCCTCTTCTCCTCTTCCCTGCCTGTGCTCTCTCTCTCCCTCTCAAATAAATAAATAAGATGTTTTAGAAAAAGAAAAAATCTGTGCTAATGTAGAAATATCTCTGGGATAAGCAGAAGAGAAACAAATGAAGAAGAAAAAGAAAAAGAGAAAGGTTCAGAGTGATGTTTATAGTACCCCGACTTCCCTATAAGGCAAAGAGGAAAATAATTACACACACTTAGATTTGCTCAGACGTTCAAAGCATTGAAAAGACACGAGAAATGAGAAGTGGTTACAAGCGTGGTTGGCTGAGGGCCCCCTTCTGGGACGCAGACTTCTCCTGGGATGGAGGGGCAAGAATGCCATGGATGAGAGGACAGGGACGGGAACCAGAGGTCCCCACGTATACGTTTGTATGATGTTTGGATTTTTGAGCCATGTTTAGTGTTTCACATATTCACAAAAATAAATAAATTTTAAAATTAAATTCAGGTTGCCTTCAAAGAAAGAGAAGAAAAAGGAGAAGAATTTGGAGAAGCATCAGAGTATTAGCCTGCCTGGAACAGCCAGAGTCTAGGTCAGACCCTGTCTCCACTTCACCCAACCGCTGGATTTGGGAGAAACTGGGTGAACAGAATTCCAGCCGGCAGGTGGACGGAGTAGCTTGGAGGGCAGGACGGTGACGAGCCGCAGAGCACAGATCCCGGAGCCACCTGCAGAGGCTCCAACGTGGCCCCACCACTTACAAGCTGGGCAACCTTAGGTGAGCCACCTAACTTTTCAGTGCCTCGGGCTCCTTACCTGTAAAATGAGGCATAATGATGATGTTTATTTAGGATGGATGTTAAGAGGAATAAATCAGTTCCCACGTCTGAAGTGCTTAGAATAGTGCTTAGCATACAGAAAGGACCCTAGAAGCCCATTTACTTCTTTATCCGTTATTGCACGGGAGGGTCAAGATCTTAGGGAGAGGGGCACCTGGGTGGCTCAGTGGTTGAGCATCTGCCTTTGGCTCAGGTCACGACCCCAGGGTCCTGGGATCCAGTCCCGCCTCAGGCTCCCCGTGAAGCCTGCTTCTCCCTCTGCTTCTCTCTCTCTGGGCTTCTCATGCATAAATAAATAAAATCTTTAAAAAAAGATCTCAGGGAGAGATCTTCAGCATGATTCTCTGGATGTGATCTTAGCCGGGAACCGGGTAGTCTTGAATCTTCCACTGAGACTCTGTAAGACAGTGATTGCTTACCAAGCCCACAACTAGTCTGTAGGAATCCTCCTAGGAGACCCCCCCCAACACAGAATTTACCCATCTGATTCACTTTTTCTCCAAAGAGGATTCCAGGGAGATTTTCTTGGGTCTGGGGTGTCCTCAACTCGCCTCTCCTCCTATGAGAGGTTAGTTAGCAGCATTGGGATTCCCTCTAAGAGTGTAGGACTGAGATAGCTCACCTCTCGTGAAGTTCTCTAGGGCGGCCTGGAAACGAGGTCCCACAGTAATGGTTCACATACGGCCACAAGCTTCTGTTCCTCCCAGAAAAGCCCATGACGTAGGGAGGGGTCTCAGGCTGACTCCTGGCATCCTCTCCCTAGCTAGTCTGAAAAAGGAGAGGATCATTTCCAAAGCCACGTGGAGTGGTGGTGCCTGTACTCCTCACCCCACTTGGAGAAGGGGCGCCTGCAAACAAGAGCCTCTGCCTGCTGAGGAACCGCTCCTTCCCTCCTTAGCCTGGGCTTGTCCTGGGCCCACAGCCAGGGAGAACCACGGAGACACAGGATGATCTTCTGGCCATTTCAGAAGTCAGAAGCCAAGAATCTGTAGAGGCACCACGCTGCCCTCCCTACACAGGCTTTTAGAAGCAGAAGAATAGAAGTGAAAAGACCGCAGCCCTCACGGTGCCTGCATTCTGTTCGAGTGGAGACCCACGGACTCTTACTGCATTCAGGTTCCAGTGCCAGTTTGGGACTATGATGCGAAAGGCCTACAGGTCCCCTAGAAAAAGTGGTTTCATTTCCTATTACCCTCCTATAGCGGACACTTCTGTGTCCTGCCTAGACGCCCTTCCCCAGGCTAATGCACCCCCTTCCAGCTGCTTCGAGCAACTCAGGGCTGCTCCTCGTCCTGGGAACTGCCCTTGGCCAATGGGAGCCACCTGCTATGGTCTGAATGTTTATATGCCCCTCAAGTTCATATGCTGAAATCCTAATCCTAACTCCTAATGTGATGGTGTTTGTCAGTGGAGCCTTTGGGAGGGAAATTAGACCATGAGGGTGAAGGCATCAGGAATGGGATTAAGTGCTTTCAAAGCGATCCTGCAGAGTTCCCTAGCCCCTTTCACCATGTGAAGATACAGTGAGGGGGGCTCCTGGGTGGCTCCATGGGTTAAGCATCTGCCTTCAGCTCAGGTCAGCATCCCAGGGTCTTGGGATCGAGGCCCCTTGCTCAGCGGGAGGCCTGGTTCTCCCTCTCCCACATCTCTCACCAACAAATAAATACATAAAATCTTAAAAACAAAAACAATGAGAAGTCTGCATCCCAGAAGAGGGCCCTCACCCGACCCCCCTCGTACCCTGATATTGCACTCCCAGCTTCCAGCACCGTGACAAATTTCTGTTGTGTATTAGTTCCCCAGTCTGTGGTTTTGCTAGGGCAGCCCGAGGGGACCAAGAAGCCGCCTCACCTGGCAGCCCACTGCCAACGAGTCACTGATCTAAGGGTACAGAAGGCCAGCCCCCTCGTCTCCCGAAGGTCATACAGCTTGCAAATGATGGGCCCTTGACTCCAGGCTGTTTGATTCTAAACACTGGGCCACCACACTGCAGTATTATACTGATTTATTTTCTTACATTATTTACTTTAGTTACCTAAGTATTTTGATTATTGCGTACCCCCCCACACACACACACACACTACAACACAAGCTCCTGGAGAATATTGATTTTTGTGCCGCTTGGTCCACAGCTGGATCCCCCAGGACCTACCCAAGTCCAGGTACCATACCAGGCCCTGAAATAGTAAATTATATTGCTCCTGTGACTTCAAGCCCTTCTTTCCAGATTTAAGGGGCAAACAAATTATAATAAGGGTAGATTGATTACGTGAGTTTCACCCAACGTCCCCAATCACGTAAATAAGAACCTCTTCCTTCCCGTCTTGATTCTGCTCTGTCGTAAGTTGGATGCAATATATTTAAGGCACATGGTGATTGTTTCAATATTTGGCTTCCGTTTAAGAACCGAACGTGCCACACAGCTGTGTAATTGCTAAGTAAGATCATAGTCTCTGACTTGCCAGAATTTGCAGTGACACTGTCAAGGCCTTACCAGAGACCATGGAGGCTGGGAAAAGACCTACATGAATCTAGGGGGAAAGTTCATGAAGGTTCATGGCCAACATCACTTGTTATCTCAATCTAGTAGTGCTTGTTGTGACTGCAGAGGGCACCCAAAATAGCACCTCATCGAAATTCTGAACTACTTGAGAAATAGACAAAAAAAAGACCCAAGGAAACCAAAATATCATGTTTACTGCTAAGAAAGCTGACAGTGCAGAATGTGTGGCTTGGATTTAAGGGTGAAATGTCATCCTAGGGTGTCTGGGTGGCTCAGTTGGTTAAGCGTCCAACTCTTGATTTCAGCCCAGGTTGTGAACTCGGGGTCATGCGATCGAGACCAGCACCAGGCTCCGCTCAGCAGGGAGTCTTCTTGAGCTTCTCTCCCTCTGCCCCCCAACCCCACACTTGCACGCACATGCAGTCTTTCTCAAATAAATAAATAAATGTTTTAATTATTTTTTAGTTAAAAAAAAGAGTGAAATGTTTTCCTAATACTAAACCCTAGAACTAGACAAACTCACCCATGGATGACTACAGACCTCGCCAAGCAGGGCCTTGGCCTTTTAATCCTAGAACACGAAGGAACAGGGCAGGATGCACACTCTCTGTGGGTCCACCAGCTTCCAAGAGGACTCCAAAGGGAAGGGCTGGCTAACTCTATCCAGAAGCTCCTTTGAAACGTGATGTGGGAAACAAAGACAAAGGAAAAATGAAATTTCCTTACTACTTACAGCCCACTGACAAGTCCTTGAAACAGGCAGAGTGACCTTCCTCTAGGATCTCTGCTGCCTCCATATTAACACTCTGCTAAGAGCAAAAGGCAATCTTAGCCCAACCCTCGGGATCCTGTAAGTCTACTTAACACATAAAAATTTCTTTGGAGGAGCACCTGGGGGGCTCAGTGGGTTAAGCATCTGCCTTCAGCTCAGGTCATGATCCCGGGGTCCTGGGATGGAGCCCTGCATTGGGCTCCCTGCTCAGTCTGCTTCTCCCTCTGCCTGCCACCCCCCACTGCTGGTGTGCTTTCTCTCTCTCTCTCTCTCTCTCTCTCTCTCTCTCCCTCTCTGTGTCAAATAAATAAATACATAAAAATCTTTTTAAAAATTTCCTTTGGAAACTTTTTTTATCTCTAGCCCCCAGATCCAGTTGGCGATCATCCCCCAAGCACATGACCCACCGATACACATCTGAAAGGTTTCATGACTCAGATTTTGGTAGATAGTGGTAAACGGCCTTTTCCCAACCATAGCTAGCCCCCTCCAGGCCCTGGAAACCTTGCTTCCAAAATTCCTTAGAGACCTACACCATCCCTAATCCCTTCCCAACTTGAAAGTATATCATGGGCCACTCGTCAGGTGACGCCAGGGCAGCTCTTTCTGCCCTCGGGTCCTGTCCCTGTGCTCAAATAAAACCACCTTTTTTGCACCAAAGATTCTTGTTACATTCAAGAATTCTTTCTTGGGGGCAGCCCGGGTGGCTCAGCGGTTTAGCACCGCCTTCAGCCCAGAGCCTGATCCTGGAGACCCGGGATTGAGTCCCACATCGGGCTCCCTGCATGGAGCCTGCTTCTCCCTCTGCCTGTGTCTCTGCCTCTCTCTCTCTCTCTCTCTCTCTCTCTCTCTCTGTGTGTGTGTGTGTGTGTGTCTCAAGAATAAATAAATAAAATCTTAAAAAAAAAAAAGAATTCTTTCTTGGCCTTCAGTCTCCAACCCCAACATCTTTCCTATATCAAACCCACTAGCTACACAAGTCACTGCAAGGAAAGAGTGGGTGATAGTGCAGAGATGTGAGGAGCATCACAGGAGGGACACAAACCCCCTCCTAGTGGAAGGAAGCATGAAGAGTGAGGATGACTTTATAATGTCAACAGTAGTGTCCTGCGGCCCCTGGATGGCTCTCAAAGGAACTTCAGTTACATTTCTGCCCTGTGAACTCGGTGTTACGAATATGCAACAACCTCCTACAGCTACCGTGTTGCCTCATAGTTATCACAGCTAAACCTAGATGGAAATCCTAGAATTTCACAGCCCCAAAGTGAAACTTCAAAGTTAATCCAGCCTACTGCTCTCCTTTTTACAGATCGTGAAACTAAGGCCCAGAGAGGTGAAATAGGCTTGTCCTACCACAGAAATGTAGGCCGGTCACCCAGAGCCAGAAGTGAAACCCCTATCCTTTTTTGTCCCTCAATCCACAGCCTTTATCTACCCAGGGACCTGTTTTTCAGCTTGTCATCAAATTGTCCCTGGTGTCAAGAAAGAGAGAGAGAAAAAAAGGAAAAAAAAAAAAAAAGCAAGAATGAGAAACAAATATATAATATAATACACATGCCTATTTCACAGCCAAGACTATGCAGTGGGGGCACAAAATGTTCTAGGAAACAGACAGAAGCGATTTCTCTAAATGATGGAAAATGAGGGCCTCATCAACTCTCACTGTGTCTTTCGTGATTTGATACCCTCCATCGAAATTTTTCATCTATCTAAATCTGTGGTGCTCTAGTTAGCTCAGTCTCTCTTCAGGGAGACTTAGCCTTCTACTTTCATAAAATTCAAGAAAACTAGATAGATTTTTATGTGAATATAAACTCAATATCCTAATGACGTCTGTTTTAAATTATTTATGCACAGCTCAAACCCTCCTAGGCATTGTTTTAAAAAGGATCCTGCATTACTATGAATCACATGAGCTCATTCTCAATGAATAGTAAAAGAAATGAATGCTATCTTCAGAATCCTGAAGGAGAGGGGCATCTTATTCAAAATCCTTTTGCTTCCTATAATGCAATATGTATGTATGTATTAAGGCCATAAAGAAGGGCCCAATAAAGATCATAAATCATCATGTTCGAAAACAGAAGTAAAGAATAGAAAGTTTAGGTAGGGGGATGCCTGGGTAGCTCAGCAGCTGAGCGTCTGCCTTCCGCCCATGGGGTCTAGGGATTGAGCCCCACAATGGGCTCCCTGCATGGAGCCTGCTTCTCCCTCTGCCTCTCTCTCTCTCTCTCTCTCTCTCTCTCTCTGTATGTCTCTCATGAATAAATAAATAAAATCTTTAAGAAAAAAAAAGAAAGTTTATGTAGGTACAGAGACTATCTATGGGGCACCTGGGTGGCTCAGCTGATTAAGCTCCAACTCTTGATTTTGGCTCAGGTCATGATCTCAGGGGCGTGAGGTCGAGCCCTGCCTGGAGCTCTGCACTTAGTGTGGGGTTTGCTTGAGATTCTCTCTCTCCTTCTCCCTCTGCACCATCCCCTGGACTTGCATTCTCTCTCTCTCTTTCTCTCAAATAAGTAAATAAAATCTTAAAAATAAAACAATAATAATTAAGATTCCTGATCAGAAACTACTTGCCTGTGTAACATAACAAGCAGCAGCTTGAGCCATGAATGGTGGGATGGATGTGCATATGGCTCTGAGGTTTGGGGACCGTGGGCTTCTGAGCGCGTGCTTCAGCTCCCCGTGTAGGTCAGGCCATTACAGGGATTGTATACGCTGCAGCACCAGGGCAGTTCGTTTGCTAAGGGAGTTAAAGCCTTACCTGATGAAGTACAGGCTCTCCCAGCAGATTCAGGTCACTGTATTGTGGACATGTTCTGTGATGTCCTTTTTTATTGGAATTGATGGAAATTGTCGCAATCAGGTATCTGGAACAGAGAGAAATAGTCCACCGGCCTGGCAATCCTGAATTCTAAAAAGTACTGCTCATTGCCTAGAAAGAGAAGAGAAAATGCTTTTAGGCCTCATCACTGTTCACCAGGCCTAAAACATTTGTTGGGATATTCCTCAGTGTGGTGTAAGGAAGACCTCAAAAGACGGATCCCCAGGAATATGGAGCTCCCATGGCTGCTAACAACATACCCGAAAACTCTAGAAGCTGCACTGATTATAGAAGTTCATGCCAACCCAGCATCTTCTAGGGTCATGCTCCTCAATAACAAAAACAGTAACAATAATAGTTAACACTTACTTAGCGATTACTTTGTGCCAGGAACTATTTTAATGTCTGACTCATTTAACCTCGCAATTTACTCTATGCAGTAGGTCTACTAATATTATGCCTATATTACAATTGGGGAAACTGAGGCACAGAGCGATGAAGTACCTTGGCCAAGATCACACGGTTGCTAAATAGCTCCAGATTCCTTGCACTTTCTCTGCCCAGGTCGAGAAACTGTTTTTGATGGGCTAACAGTTACTGGTACACGTGCACGCAGGTACACATGTCCTGTCTCCTTGCCCAAGTATTTTAGCAAAGTAGACTTTCAAGTTAATTGGGTCATGTAATAAAGATCTAATGTTAGATCCTGCAGATCGGTGCAGTTCCTCCATTTTATTCTTTTACACTCATATTATTATTTTTTGGAAAGAGAGGGGCAGGGGAGGGGCGGAGGGAGAGAGAAACCTAAGCAGACTCTGTGCTGAGCGAGGAGTCCAGCACCGGGCTCGATCTCATGACCCCGAGACCGCAATGTGAGCTGAAACCGAGAGTTCGATGCTTAACTGGCTACGCCATCAGGCGCCCACACTCATATTATTTTTTATGCTGAACTATTTTACTTGAAAAAAATAGATCCTTAAAGTATTTTACTTTAAATCACAGATACCATGACATTTCACCCCTAAATACTTCAATTGACAACTCAAAAAAAATGAGGACATCCTACACAACCAAAATAAATACTTATGCCTAACATGCCACGATATTAATCAGCCTAATGAATTTTAATACCATTTATGACCCAAGCCATATTCCAATTTCCATAATTGTTCCCAAAATAGATTTTGTTGCTGCTCAAAACTGTTCACACTAGGCTCTAATCTAAAATTGGGTCCCTTAAAAATAAATAAATAAAACAAAATAAAATTGGGTCCCTTCAATTTCTCTTCCTCTGTAATAGCCTCTGTCTTCGTGGTGATGATTTGCTGAGAGTCCAGGACCGTGGACGCATGGAATGTTTCTTCACCTTTGAGATTTGCCTGAAGGCTTTGTCACAGTGCTTAGCTTGTTCTTACTTTTTCCATTTATTATCTGTGATTTAGATACTCTTCTGATACTTAGAGGGGCAAAAAACACACATATATATATATATATATATATTTTTTTTTAAATCTGCAGACTGTTATAACAGACTAGAAACAAGTCTCTGAAAACTCAAGAGGGGAATGAGCAGAAACAAATGACCAAAGAAACATCTTTGGGTTCCTTCTGGATTTAATTCATTTGAGTGATACCTGGATGAATGAACACAAATAATGGAGAGTAGAAAAAAGAACACGGATGCCTGGGTGGTTCAGTCGGTTAAGCATCTGCCTTCAGCTCAAGTCACAATCCTGGGGTCCTGGGATCAAGCCCCATGTTGGGCTCTCTGCTCAGCAAGGTGTCTGCTTCTCCCTCTCCCTCTGCCTCCCCATGCTTGTGCGCTCTCTCTCTCTCTCTCTCTCTCAAATAAATAAATACAATATTTAAAAAAAAAAAAAAAAGGAAAAGGACAAGCCTCAACAATTTTCATTCTGAGCAAGGACTAGGCATTGCAGGCACAGGGCAACTTTGTGCAATGGATGCCAATATGCACACTAGGATTTGGGGTTTTCGCCTACCAAGCTTTATTACATTAGGTGGGGTTTGGTGATACAAGTTCTGATTGGAGACTCCAATCTTTCCAGAGTCAAAGTGTAAAGTAGCTAGGCTTAGTTGCTTAGGCAACCAACAATGTGAGACTGATGAGTCATAAATCCAACTTGTTGCTAACTTGCAGTCACGAAAGTCTTTGGAATCTTTGTTCCAAGACAACTCATTTGAATGCCCTTTAAAGGCTCAGGAAATAGCCCTGAAAAACATTTCTTCAAGGCAAGTAAACAAAAACTGTGTCTATGGTATTGTTAAAATAGACTGGATGCGGGATCCCTGGGTGGCGCAGTGGTTTAGTGCCTGCCTTTGGCCCAGGGCGCGATCCTGGAGACCCGGGATCGAATCCCACGTCGGGCTCCCGGTGCATGGAGCCTGCTTCTCCCTCTGCCTGTGTCTCTGCCTCTCTCTCTCTCTCTGACTATCATAAATAAATAAAAATTAAAAAAAAATAGACTGGATGCATTTCAAGACACTTCCCGCCTTCAACCACCCGCCAGATAGTCTATGTGTCTCCTTTTGTCAGGACCCAGGCAAGTGGGCTCCGGTCCACCCCTGGAGCCCTAGACCCCGCAGCTGGCCCAGTGAGACCTGCCTCGAGCCCGCCGTGCAGGTGCACACCGAGCTGTGTCCTTCCCCATGCGGCGCTATCCAATCACGAAGTCAAGTCACCGCTCTCCATCGGTTCAGGGTTCCACACTCAAGGGCGTCTGGCCACGTGCTTAACCTGGGCTTCTTACACAGCACACGGAGCAGGACACAAGGTGACAGCAGGGTGCAGGCGGGCTAAGGGCCCAGCCGGGGAGCCAGTGCGGGCGCTCGCTGGGGACGAGGCCTCGCTCTGCTCCGGTCAGCGCTCGGCACCTCCTGCTGTGGCTGTTCAAGGCCGAAGGGTCTCGGGTCTGCCCAGAGATCCCTGTCGGGGGCCTCCTCAGGTGGTCACGCATAGAGGGCCCCGGCCTGCCGGGTCTGACAGTCTGCTGCCAAAATCTGACCTTTTTTTTTTTTTTTTTTTTTCAAAATCCGCCCCTTTTTTAAAAAGAGATTTAACGGGGGCTCCTGGGGGCCTCAGTTGGTCAAGTGTAGGCCTTCGGCTCAGGGCATGATTGCGGGGTCCTGGGCTCCCTGCTCCGCGGGGGGCCTGCTTCTCCCTCCCCCTCTGCCGCTGCCCCTGCCTGTGCTCGCTCGCTCTCTCTCTCTCTCTCTCAAATGAAGAAATAAAATCTTTAAGCAAAAAAATAAATAAAGGGATTGAACTGGTCTTGGGCCGCTGCAGACCTCCTCTGGTTCTGCTCCTTCTCAGTTCGGGGGGGTGGGGGGGTCCAGGTGACATTGGCCCCGGGTGTCTCCCAGCTGCAGTACCCTAACTGCGTGTGTCCTCACGTGGCACAGGCTCCTGCTTGACATGAGAGACTCCGTTTTGCTGTCTCCAGGCCTGCAGAGCCAAGTGCCAGCTGGCCACAGCAAGGTGCAGGCGTCTGGGGGGGTCAGGTGGCCTTGCAGTGGGGACCCCTGGGAGGGCCAGGACCAGGGAAGCCGGGCCTCACCTGGTTGCCCCCAGCAACTCTTCAGAAGCAGATCCCGGGACATGGAGGCTCATTTCCCTAATGCGGAGGGAAGTGAATCAGGTGGGCAGAGCTGACCAGGGTGATGAAAGCATTCTAGAAACTCCCTCTCAAAAGTAAATCCTTGCTGACAACACCAGGTGCTGGCAAGGTGTAAAAGCCAGAGGAAGTGTCATTCCTCGCTGGCCAGGATGCAGAACGGTACAGTCACTTCGGAGACAGTCTGGACAAAGCTTCAACAACACGTACTCTCCTTACCCCATGACCTAGCCGGCACTCGGCCCCAGCAGCTGAGAACTCATGCCTACACAAAAACCTGCCCAGAGATGTTTCTAGAAGCTTTGTTCATCCTTGCCAAACCTTGGAAGCGGCCCAGATGCCCTCTGGTTGGCCAATGGATACATAAGCTGTGGCACAACCAGACAAGGGAATAGTATTCGGTGCTAAGAAAGAAATGAGCTATCAAGTCTTGCAAAGGCAGAGACGAGACAAATGCGTCTTATGAAGTGAAAGTAGCCAACCTGGAAAGGCTGGACGCTGAACGACTTCAACTATGGGCATTCTGGAAACCGAAGAAAGGTCAGGGGTCACCAGGAGTCAGGGGGAGGGAGGGATGCTCACTCAGCCCCCCGAAGGGTCTGGGGGCAGCGAAGCCACTCTGTGTCATACCATCCACCCAATGGTGGATGCGTGTCATTTGTTCTTTTTCCAGACCCGGGGAGCGGACACCACGGAGAGCTGTGATGTGCAGCTGTGAGCCCGGGCGACGGGGATGCGGCCCGCAGGGACAGCAGTCTAAGGGGTGCACCCTCCCGACGGGACGTGTTGGTGATGGGAGGCCGCGTGGGAGCTGGGGCGACGGGGCAAGGGGGGGCGTGGGACTGTCCCTGCCACTCAACTGTGCTATGAATCTAGACCTGCTCTGAAAAATAAAGTGTTTTCTCTTTTTTTTTTTTTTTTAAAGTAAGTCCTACCCAACCTTCTGCCAACTAGATTTTGATTACGGCGCCTCTCTCCCAGAATGGAACTGACCCTGCGAGGAGATCGGCTGGGCTCAGATTTACACCCTGCTGTGGGTATTTTTCTTTTTTTTTTTAAGATTTTATTTTATTTATTTATTCATAGAGACACACACACACACACAGAGACAGAGGCAGAGGGAGAAGCAGGCTCCATGCAGGGAGCCCGATGTGGGTGGGACTCGATCCCGGAGCTCCAGGACCACACCCTGGGCTGAAGGCAGGCACTGAACCGCTGGGCCACCCAGGGATCCCCCACCGCTCTGCTTCTGTGCGACTTGACGGTATTGATTCCTCAGAGAGGAAACGAGTGACTCATAAGATCGCGTGATTCCCAGGGCCTCTCGCAGAAGGAGGCAGATGGCCCTTAGGAGCTGGGACAAGAGAGACGGTGCCAGGAGGCCCAGGGCTGCTCTGGTCCCTCAGAAGTCATCAGAGATGCTCCCCCCACTGCCCCCGCCCCCTGGAAACCCCCAGAACCCCTATACCGAGCGGGAAGGTCTGAGTGGGCCCCGACTCCCTGGGGTGTTATCCAGAGTCCTCCCTGCGTATTTAGTCCCTCCTCCCCTACTCCCCCCCCTCAGGCCCCTGCCCAGGGAGCGCCTGCTCTCCGGCCAACCCCGCACCCTGCTTTCTGCCGCCACCCCCCAGCCCTGCTGGTCTGGCTCCCCCTCCTTCTCTCCCGGTCCCCACTTCTCTCTGTACCTCTCTTGTTCTGGGATCAGTGCATGTGTCTCCTCCGCCCAGCGAGGCTCTTGGTGACGCGCGGATCGCAGGGGCCAAGAGCCTGAGTCAGAGCCAGGCCGTGCTGTGACCTCCTCGGGGCCTCATTTTTCTCGCCTGTAAACAGGGAATGATAGTAGCTACTTGTCAGGATGTTTAAAAGGCGCTGCAGGAATCTCAGCCCCCCACATACGGAACTAAATTTTATTCTCTCCTGGTACAGACTTGGTTGCTAATTTAACTAAAGGCCCCACAACCGTGTTGTGAAGGAAGGAAGGAAGGCAAAAAGGAGAAAAAGAAATCGGGGCATGGGGGGACCTTGATACAAAGGAGCGGGTATTAGTCATGTTTCAGTCTGCGCCCCATTAACTTCATTCACTTATCTGTTCCCGAGTGGGTACAATGGCCTGGTTGCTGAACAAAATCGGGGATCCCTGGGTGGCTCAGCAGTTTAGCACCGACTTCTGCCCAGGGCATGATCCCGGAGACCCGGGATCGAGTCCCACGTCGGGCTCCTAGCATGGAGCCTGCCTCTCCCTCTGCCTGTGTCTCTGCCTCTCTCTGTCTCTCTCTGTCTCTCTCTGTGTGTCTCATGAATAAATAAAATCTTGGAAAAAAAAAAATCACTGCCAGCCCTCAAAGAGCCCACGGTCAAGAGGCGACAGCGAATGACATCAGTAGTTGCAACACAGTGTGGGGACAGCTGAGGGACAGCACGGTGGCCTTGCCCTGAAGCACACGGCTCAAGAGCTGGGTTCAAATGCTGGTCCTCTCACTTCCTGGCTATGTGACTAAGCTCCTAGCACCTCAGTCACAGGACTGCAGTGGGGGTGGGCTTGCAAGAGGGAGAGGGACCAGCACAGTGCCAGGCATCCAGTGCTTCATACACGTTCGTTATGAGTATTGAGTTTTCGTGCATCTACACGCATGGCACACACACATGTACACACACCTATGCATAGTAAGTACCCACTGCAGAGTGCAAGGAGGGCATAGAAAGTGAGGAAGTAAGCCGGAGTCCGGTAGGGCTGCCAGGAGGGGGTGACCCTCCCCCAGGCTCAGTCTTTAAGAACGAGGGAGAGAGGGGTGGGGAGCAGGGGAAGGCTGAAGCACAGGCAAAGGCCTGAGAAGGAAAAAGGTGGGCCACTCCATGGGTCCGTGGGTGCGGGGGGTGCGGGGTGCGGGGTGGGGGGCAGAGCTAGCCCTGTTGGAGACTCAGGACTCAGGAGCTGAATCACGCAGGCCCTGCCTACGAATCTGGATCTTGCCTAAGGCCAGTGCAGGGCTGAGCTGGAGCCTGCTGTGAACATTTTGGCACTTTCTAAAACACCACATTTTTCATAGCATTAGCCAACAATAATCCGCTTTGTGGTCATGATCCCGAAGCCCTGTAGGATGCTGAAGCAAAGCCTGAAAAAAGACTCTGTTCAGTGTTCTATTCTTCTATGGCCAAGAATATTTTATTGTGTTCTAATTCTTTGGGAAATGATACATTCTCTGTGGGAAGGATCCACGTCTTTTCTCTTGTATCTCCGAAAGCGTCTAGAACAATCTGTTGGCACACCAGATTTGCCCAACAAATACTAAGTGAGAAATTCATATAATCCCTGCACATTATATGCAGGTAATTCCTAGTTAATTGAGGCAATTAACTGAACATTCTGATGGAAAGTGGAAATGAGGGTTGGGACATGGACTTCACTGTAGCAGGGTGTTAAAGGACAGATGCCCCTGGTGTATTCCTTGGAAGTTAGACTTTGGTGTAGTGGGGAGGATGCTCTTTTTTTTTTTTTTTTAACAAAACCAATTAGAAAGCTCTTCTTTCAAAGTGGCAGAGGGTTATTTCTTTTTTCTTTTTTTAAGGTTTTATTTATTTATTCATGAGAGACACACAGAGAGAGGCAGAGACACAGGAAGAGGGAGAAGCAGGCTCCCTGCGGAAAGCCTGATGCGGGGACTCGATCCTGGGACCCCAGGGTCACGACCTGAGCTGAAGGCAGAGGCTCAACCACTGAGCCACCCAGGGGCCCCGGCAGAGGGTTATTTCTGACTTCTGGTAACACAATGTAAAACTAATGATAGAATGAGATCCCCTTCCATTCGGAAAGGAAAAGGGGGTCAAGAGAAACTGATAAATCGCAAAGAGTAATGTGGTCTGGGGGATCCACTGGGGAACATGGATCCTCCAAAACAGCAGTATCTTGACAGACAGCCTTTGAATCCGGGCTCATTCATTCATCCCTTCATTCATTCCATAGTTATTTTTGAGCCCCTCCTCTACCTCAGATGCTAGGTTTACAACAATGAACAAAACAGACATCATCTTTTCCATAACTCATGAGCATTACACTGAACCAGGGCAAACAGGCTTTTAAAAAAATAAGCTCACTAATAAGTATGTAGTAACAACGCATGATAAGTGCTCTGGCAAAAACCACAGGCAGCCTGCTATGAGGGAGAAGGGAGACCTAGGGTAGGCAGGCCTGGTGGGGGTCAAGGCCTCCCTGGGTAGAGGCGGGTCTTTCTGAGGAAGAGTCAGAGGAGGATGAGTAGGAAAAAGCCAGGACGGGACTGATGAGGAGGGGACTCCCGTTGTGGGGAGGCCCTATGCCAGGCCTCAGGTGGACAGGGCTGAGAGATCTTGAGGAACAGAAGGGAGGAATAGAGGGGTGGCAGGAGTCGGAGGTGCCCAAGGGGGTGAGCACTGCGGAGCAGCAGAGGCCAGAGGCATAGAGACCAATCTGGACAGGAGGAACCAGTGAGAAATGATGGGGGCCTTCTAGGCGATTTGCAACCTGTCCTCCAACTCAACACCCTCCCTGAGTCCCCGGGCCCCAATCCCAGGGAGGAATCTCAGTTGAGGCCGGGGTAAGGGATGCAGATGGCAGAGGCACCCAGCAGCTTGTCCCCCAGTGGCAGGAAGCCAGGGCACAGGGACAGAGAACAATAGAGAAGGCTGGGGACCAAGCTGACCTGGCTTGGATCCCAAACCCCCGGGGTGGGCGCGCACAACTCACTTGCCTCCTCTCTAAAATGAAGACGGATGGTACTCACTCTAAAGGTTGTAAAAGGAATTGCACGCGCATGCGTGACAGTGCCCAAACTTCGGTTATAAAATAAGTTAATCGTGGGCATTGAAGGCACAGCACGGTGACCATAGTCAACGACAGCCGCTGCGTGTCTGGAAGCTGCTGAGAGAGGGCACCGGCTGGCTCGTCTGAGGCACATGCGACTGGACGGCGGGGTGGGGATCGAGGGGCCCACGTGGGTGAAGAGACTACTTAAACAAAATAAAACTCAAAAGTTGCGGGTCGCCGGGTGGCTCGGGTGGCTCACGAGCGCCTGCCTTCCGCCCAGGGCGTGACCCCGGGGTCCCGGGATCGGCCCCACATCATGCCCCCTGCGGGGAGCCTGCGTCTCCCTCCGCCTGTGACTCTGCTTCTCTCTGGGTCTCTCATGAAAAATAAAATCCTTAAAAAAAAAAAAAAAGTTGCTAAGAGAGAGTAGATCTTAAAAGTCTTCATCCAAAGGGGAAAAAACTGGGGGGACGGAGGGTTACTGCGGAGTGAGGGGCGTTAAGCGGGTTGGTGATAGTGGTCATTTCTCGGGTGTACACATACCTGGTCACAGGAGCCAGCTGACCCTCACAGCCGGACCTGCCAACTGTGCGTTCACACCCACGGGCGGGCCGCAGGCGAGCACGGCTGGAGGGAGGGCCCCGGGGGCGGGGCCGCAGCCCGCGCGGAGAGGAACTAGCATCTCGGGGTCACGGCTCCGGAGCGAGGAGGGAGGGGGGGAGGGGGAGGGGGAGGGGGAGGGGAGGGGAGGGGAGGGGGAGGGGGAGGGAGGGGAGGAGGGGGAGGAGGGGGAGGAGGGGGAGGAGGGAGGAGGGAGGAGGGGGAGGGGGAGGGAGGGTCCCAGCGCCGGGTTTCAGCCCCAGCGGCGGCGGGTGGGAGGGCGCTGAGGTCACGCAGGGAGGGAGGAGCCGCAGGCCGGCGATGGTGCACGTGCTGAGGGAGCAGGGGGCGGAGCCAGGGGAGGAGGACGCCCCCGGGGATGGGGGCAGCTGCGGGGAGGAGGGGGGAGGAAGGGAAGAGGGAGGGGAAGAGGGAGGGGGAGGGGGACAGGGAGGGGGACAGGGAGGAGGGGAGGATGGGGGAGGAAGGAGGAGGAGGGGGAGGGGAGAGGGAGGGGGAGGAGGGGAGAGAGGAGAGAGGCGGGAGGAGGGGAGAGAGGAGAGAGACGGGAGGCGGGAGGCGGGAGGCGGGAGGCGGGAGGCGGGAGGCGGGAGGCGGGAGGAGGGCAGCCGGGCCCGGCGGCGGAGCGCGGGGAGGCGGCGGGTCCCGCGGCAGCTGCGGTCGCGGCGGGCTGGGCGCGGCTGGTCCTGGATCCGCACCTGAGCAGGTGAGGCCGCCCCGGGGCCCGGCGGGAGCGACGGCGGGGAGCTGGGGGCGGAGGGCGGAGGGGGTGCTCTCGTTCTACTGCCCGGGTCCCCAGGGGCGGGGGGGGATCCGGAGTCGCCCCTTGCTAACCCCTCGGGGCCTGGCTCGGGCTCCGGCCCCGATCGGGCCGGTGGGGGTGCGGGGGGGGGCTTGGGGTCGTGCAGGTGGCCTCAGGCTGGGGACGGCGGACTCCTGCGGGCTGACTCCCTCCGCTGCGACCTGAGCCCGCGTCCTGCTGCGGGGGCCCCCCGCAGCCCCCCTGCCCGGGGGTCGGAAGTCCTGCAGCCCCAACCAGTGAAAAAGTAGAGGGACCCCAAACCAGACCCGGGCCTGGTGATGGGAGCTGCCCCCAGGAGACAAGGCCTTCCCGGGGGGTTGCTCGGGTGGGCTGGGGATTCCCTGGGCGCCAGGGGGCCTGACCGCCGGAGCCCGGGATCTTTGCCCCCTGATCTGAGGCAGCGGCAGAGCTGCCGCCTGAGCCGAGATTATCTAACAGGACTTCAGGCCAGCGCAGACTTCCTGGAGATCAGCAAGAAATAGGGTCAATGTGACAGCTGCTCGTGCTCCCCCTGCAGGGCACTGAGCTGGGGCTTTATGGACCTCAGTCCCCCCGTCCTCATCCCTCATCCTTGCAACAGCCCCTCAAGCCCCTGGCTCGCTCTGTGCATTACCTCCACGTCACAGGTGAGAAAGCTGAGGCCACAGACACATTAAATCACTTGCCCCAGGGGCACCTGGTGGCTCAGTCGGTTAAATAGGGCTCCCTGCTCGCTGGGGAGCCTGCTTCTCCCTCCCCCTCACTTTCCCTCTGTCAGATAAATAAATGAAAATCTTAAGACAAAAAAAATAAAAAAATAAAACTTGCACAGAGCTAGCAAGAGTAGAGTCAGGACCTGAACTCAGGCCTCTGACTCCAGGCCTCTCCAGTGTAGGGCATCCGCAGGCTGCCTCTGTAATAACACATCTGAGGTTAAACCGTGCCCAGCTAATGGTCCCCTTGGTTCACATGCCTGGCAGTTGAGTGGGAAACAGAATCGTGTGTGACAAGGTTGTCACTGTGCAGGGAAGTTGGTGGTAGTCCAAGAGGCGGGGGCAGCAGAGTGCAGTGGCCATGGTTGGGGCCGGGCGGGGCAGGGAGGGTCCATGGTCCACCTGGAAATACGCCCATTCTTGCCAAATCACTCTTCTGAGCCATGTGGTACCAATAATTCATTTTCTCCTTCAGAAACTCCCACTCCTCTGTTCCTTATTATAATAGTGTAATAAGGAATATACTATTCCTTCTCAGTCATTTGCCTTGGCCTGTTTGTTTTGTTTTTCTTTTGTCGGTATTCCCTAGGCCTCAATGTTCTCATTTTCCAACACTCTTTGTAGACAATTGTATTTGTGTTTCTCGCTTTACCTATCATTTTTATGACAGCAGCTCCCAAGCTCCTGTTCCCCGCCTGTCCCTAATCTGTAACTCCAGACCCAAATGATCAAATATTCTAATTCCTACTGGCGGATTCCAGTGCATGCCCCCACGGGGCACCCAAATCCAACACTTCCAAGCTCAAGTTTATCATCTTTATCCTTCCCCAGGGTCTTGGTTCACGCCTCTTCAGGTCCTTGGCTGGACTATTACAGCACCTTCCAAACTGATCTTCCTGTCTCTGGAGTCCATCTACCCCTTGAAAGCTCAAGAGTTTTAGTCGTTTAGCGCGTGCCTTTGGCCCAGGGAGTGATCCTGGAGTCCTGGGATCGAGTCCCACATCGGGATCTCTGCTTGGAGCCTCCTTCTCCCTCTGCCTGTGTCTCTGCCTCTCTTTGTGTATCTCTCCTGAAAAATAAATAAAAATAAATAAATAAATAAATAAATATAAATAAATAAATAAATAAATAAATAAATAAATAAAATCTTAAAAAAAAAAAAAAAAAGAACTTACCAGAGAGAATAGACCTTTCTTCTTCTCCTTCCTTAATACCCTGTACAAAGCTGTAAGGGAGCCCCTTGCATGTTGGGTAACTGCCGACTTGTCTATATTCCCCTTTAGACCAGGAGCTCTTGCAGCACTGATTTTCCCTTATCCATCTTTGTGTTCCTTGGCCCGACACTACTGTGTGTGTGTGTGTGTGTGTTAGTGACCTTGTAATGAATTAAAACTTTGATTAGGACACAATTTTCTTAAGTAGTAAAACTGTGCATAGTGTGTCACTTCACTTTAAATCTGATCCGTCACCATAGTGAGTTAATTTGTGTGTGTTAGTGGGGGAGAAGCATTAGGACGTGAGTTTGCAGGGGATCCCTGGGTGGCTCAGCGGTTCGGCCCCTACCTTCAGCCCAGGGTGTGATCCTGGAGTCCCAGGATCGAGTCCCACATCAGGCTCCCTGCATGGGGTCTGCTTCTCCCTCTGCCTGTGTCTCTGCCTCTCTCTCTCTCTCTCTCTCTCTATCTCTCATGAATAAAAAAAAAAGGCCTTGTGTTTGCAGATGGTGGCAGATGAAGACTGATGACAAAATGAAAATAAGTTTTCCAATTTGGTGAATTGATACTAAGGGTGTTTTTAAGGTTGATATGAAATTTAGCCACAGCATAGTGACTCCCTTCTACTTTACTTAGGCCTCGGGTCAACAAGTAAGCTGACTACACCCAACCAGAAGAGAAGCAAAGACGAAGGCATCATGGCTTCAGTGTCTACTCATGGAAACCAAGATAAAGGCCCCCATTTGCCACCACCAAGCAAGCAGGTATATTTTTAATTCGGAAGTCTGCCAACTGAAGAGGACTATCATATAACGTTCCTTAAGCCTCATCCTTGAATGGTCACCTTGCTTTTTTTCAGCCTGGCACTTTGTTGGGTGGGTTCAAAGATAGTGGGATGGGGAAGGAAAATATTTTTTTAGCTTCCTTGAAAAAGAGCCTTTTAAATTTTAATTTATAAAATCCTTTCTTTACTCTTCCCTGCTCAGAATCTAGCCTAACTCGCTCTTACGTAGGCTGTCAAGACTGGAGAAATTTCATTTAGCAGAGCAAAACTCTTAACTGAATCTGACAGGATGATACATCATTCTTGTTGTTTACATTTTTGTTGCCAAGGCTAATCATACTAAGTATATGTTGCTGACCGCTATTCCCTAACAACTAAATTAAATTAGCAATCAGATTGAGAACCCTAGTGTTAACATGGGCACAGTCTTTCAAAGTGTAAAGAATGAATATTATATGTTTCGGGGCCACAAACATAAAGCAAAAATTAAGTATCATGATGGGTAAATGGAGTTCATGGTCTCTAGTGTCAACTTTTCCAGCTAAAAATAATTTAATGAAAGAGGTGGTATTTAAGGAGCAAAGTTTAGGAGAAGCAAACAGACAAATGATAGCAAGTCATAAGGAAAAGAATTCAGACACCCAAGTTGCCTCTGTGAAATAGAGAACCATGAAACATTTATGGCTGTACAGGAAAGGAGCACCAGAGCTCCCCTGGGGAGACCGTGCGGCAGCATCAGGCTTGACTTCAGGACTCACAGCTATTGTCATCATCTGGATCCCTGATCCTGGACGTGTATATAGGTGTATGTTTGGGACAGAGGAGGGAGGGAGGCGTTCCCTACGTTTGCCACAGCCATAGGCAGAAGCAAGAAGAGGTATTTACACTGAGATAAGGAGTGCTTGCTGAGGAACAAAGGTAAGTGGAGAGTTCCTTCTCTGACCACTGTCATCTGTGTGCTGTGCTGTGGGGAGTCGTAAAGAAAGAAGACAAAGGTTACCTACTCAAGCTATTTATACAACTCGGAAGGCATAGGTGCCAAGGGGTCCTACCACCCTGTCATCGTGCAATATGAAATGCTTGGTACAGTGCCTAGATGATGGGGAAAGTACTACAAAGAGTCCAAAAACAAACACTGGCAAAATCAGACAAGGCAAAACTCAAAAGCCAAAGAGCTGCGCCCCAAGAAAAACACTAAAAGTCCAAGAGGTAAATGACAGAGGTCTTATGTAAATAATTCACAAAAAAGGAAATACAAGTGTGACTTGTATAGTGAGGAACCAATGAAATAAAACTTGTTTTTAAAAAATGAACCACCCAGAGGATGGAAAAAATAATTATTTTCGAATCGCCTATCTAATAAGGGCCTAGTATCCACAATACACGAAGAGCTTTGACAGCTCAACAACAAAAAGACAGCCCAATTTTTTTTAAATGGGCAAAGGACTTAAATAGGTTTTTCTCCAAGAAAAACTATATGAGTGGCCAACAAGCAAATGAATAGATGCTCAATGTCACTGGTCATTAGGGAAATGCAAATCGAAACCACAGTGAGATACC